CATGCTGCCACAATGACACTTTGACATGACCAGCAAACTCTTTGCTTCCCCAGCCAAACATCTGCTGCTCATTACCTGCCATCGATCTTATTAGGTACCAGTGTTGGGAAAGTTAACTTTCTACCTAAACTAGTTCAAAGTTCAGTTCACACATTTTAAAATGAACTAGTTAGATTCATCATTCATAATTTCATGATGATTTTTATGGAGCCCATATAGAACACTTAATCTACGTCAGATTAATCTACATGTCCATTTTTGAATCCTAATCCAACCCGGTTTACAATAGCATTGAGAGGACAGCCCTCAGAATACTAGCGTTTCCCTAATGTTTTGTTCAGTCCTCACTAGTAGGAACGTTAATCTCTAGAGTATATTTTCATAAACATGAGGAAAACCTGCTGCTTGAATGGTTTTTAGACTTTATTATGATAACAACAGCAGGACTGTAGTCTTTAAGGTTTTTTTTTTCATTTCTATACAACAATTCACGTCAAATTCCATTTCAGTCATACTAATAAGGAACCAGAACAAATACTGGAAATAACAATACTAATTTACAATAAATCATACCTGCCAACATTTGGGTTATAAAATCCAGGAGATTTTTGCGGTGTGCGCTGGCCAGTTTTGGGGTTACCTTGTATGGTGGATATGAGCTAATAATGACAGTATTTGTAATTAGATTGCTCATCCAAATAAGTAAAAGTGAAGCTGCACACTTTTTGTTTTGTTTTAACAATAACAAATAGTCATCAAAAATAATAGCAACAATATGCCTTGAACTTATTTAGTCCTCATATGTTTTACATGCTCTCCAGTATGAGGCTCTCTGAACATCTGTGCATGCAATACAGCACTCTTTTATCTGAGGCTGCCCTGCATCACTCCGAGACGGTGCAAGACTATCAACGTAAATATATCTCACGCTTGTTTCCCTTGCATTGAAGTGTCCAATTTGCAACACTGCTTAAATATAGTTTACAGCTTCAAAAAATTGTAGAGTAAAACTATCAATCCAGTGGCTGTGAGGCTCAGCAGAATCAGAGGACCATCTTCGGTTGTCTGGAAACCTGGCAAGTTTGGACAAATACAGTGATCCGATTCATGAATGAACGTAGACCATGCAAACTACGGGAGATTCCTGGGAGAAATGACAATACGGGTGGAGGGCAGGAGATAGGTCTGAAATACGGGAGAGTCCTGGGAAAAACCATAGTGCTGGCAGGTATGCAATCATGCTGTGGTTCAGCATAAAAATAACACAATGGCCCCATATTCTTATTAACAATTTCATGTCCAGATATGAGTTGTCTTGTCATATCTCGCTAATAACACACCAACGATCAAACTGGGTGGTGTCTTTCTTGACTTCTGCACTCTTTCTCAGAGAAGAATGAAGCTTGGTTTTGCACGTTGTCACAGATTTATGCAAATTCTAAGCTTATCTTGATTTCTTTCGGTGTCTATAAAGACTCGGCACCCAGCAAGTGTTAGTTTGTGGTAAAAAGCAAACTGCTCTACCCAGGTAGCCCAGCTCTCAGAAAGCCAATGTGGTGAAGTTGCTTTCAAGGCCCCCCAGTTGACAACACTCCATCTGCAGTTGTCTTCCCTGGTGCCACACAAAATCTCCAACCTGTCCTCTGGAGACTCTGTAATAAAATAACATTTTTGTTAATTTAAGAAAAAAAGATGTCTCAAGGGATAAGTGCATTAGGAAAATAAATGACCCAAGTTAGTCTTTGCTCTTCACTTTGATGTTGTGTTCATCCACAGATGGATGGTGTTTTGCATTTAGCTCTCATTTTAACTTCAGTCCTCCAATTTTTGTGGACCAAAGATCGCCTGAAGAGATATTACAAACTAGTAAGTATTCGCTGTTCAACTGTTTTCAGACCCTGAATGTCTGTGGTCTGTGATATGGAGCACATGTGTGTTATCAACAGTGATTCCATGCCGGACCTTTTGCTGTAAATGGGACTGGATATTCAGTTGGGTTTTTGTCACCTGCTGGGCCACCACTCTACCCAACACTTACTCTGAAACACCCAGCTGATAGTTTATCTTATGCTGGTGCAGTCATGAGCTTTTCTTTGATGTGCACTTTTTCAGCACAAAGCCATTGCTGGTAATTTACTGCACGCATATATAAATACAGACCACACACTACCATGGCATACATTAAACATACGTATTTAACAAAAAACTTAGAACACTCCTAGCCTCAGTAATGAGACCGAAAAGGGCCCAGTTAACACACCTCCACCATAAATGTAGACATTACACACAAACAGAGGAGAAAAGATTCAAAAGAGCTGTAAATAAAAAACTATTCAGCAGCACGGCAGCCACTACAGCTAGCTATATTTAGTGTACGTATCAGGTGTCCTCCAGAGCTGACAGCGTGGCACATTACTGGCATTTCAGCAATTAAAATATTGTTTGGTAGAAGGGATGTAGTGTTGACAACAAGTCACGTGACTTACCTTGATCATGACGTTTGGCGGCTTGTTACACCGAAACATGGTGCCCTTATTGTGAAAATCCATGGGGCTCCTTCGTGGGAAATAAGCCAAAATATCACTTTATATTAGTTATGACTCCTGTTCATTACGCAGGTTATTGTTGTGAGTTTTCATGTCCTTCTCTTTTAACTACACTGTCTCCAACAACAAGCATTGTATGAACAGCAATACTTTTTACTTTGAAGGCAGTTTCGGCTATGGACTTCCTTTTTTTAATTTTTATTGTACAAGTTGGAAAAGGGAAAATGCGGTTGCTTGGCGCCGCTGTGTTGCGCTGAATTGCATCTCACTCCATATGTCACTGAAATAGGAAATACACCCCAAAAAGAGTGGTAGGCAGGTCATCTTTTTAAAGAAGCGCTTTGTCAGCCTCATTGAGAGGAGACATTTTTCAAAAGGTGCAAGCGTTGTGGGGGAGTGTTGGTGCGTGGTGTCAGTCAGTCTGTAGCTAGGCAGGGGAGCGGGGTCCTGTGTAGATTGCCGTGCCATGATAATTTGCTGGCTGCCGTTTTTCCTGTGTTTTATTTTATTTTGTTAGATTTTGTTTTATTTTGTGTGTGTGTGTGTGTGTGTGTGTGTGTGTGTGTGTGTGTGTGTGTGTGTGTGTGTGTGCGTGTGTAAGGAAAGAGAGATACGGACAAAGGAGAGACTGATAGAGGGAGATGAAGAAAGTGAAAGAGATGGACAGAGGAGAGTCTGGTAGAGGGAGATTCCATCCTCTAACCCCACCCCTACACCCCCAACCAGAACAGCAGAACAGCTGACAGGCATCCAGCACATGCTTAGCCTGCTCTGCTCACACCTGATGGGACAAGTACAGTAGACAAACCTAGAGTATATTCTTATTTGATTTTATTTGTATTAATTAATTTATTTATTTATTCACTCATTTAATTTAAGGGTTATTAAAATATTAGACTAGATTGAAACTAATATCTGAGATGCTTCAGAATTAATCTCTTCATTGACAGTGTGATTGGAAGTTTATCTCATTTTAAACACTAAATGCATCTTTTTGAATTTTCAAGTTAATGAAATTTAAATTGTTTATTAGTTCATGTTGGAACATCCAGGGTCTGAGGTCCTCGGCTTTTGGCCTTAAGAGCAGGACCCCAGACTTTAATAGGCAGTTAGAAAAATCAGACATTATCGTACTGCAGGAGACTTGGAGTGGAGGAGGCACACCCACTGGTTGTCCTTTAGGTTATAGAGAAGTAATTTTTCCATTTACCAAACTGAAGAGTGTAAGCCAAGGCAGAGATTCAGGAGGGATGCTGATCTGGTATAAGACAAACCTCACACAATCGATAGAATTAATTAAAAAAGGAAAATTTTTAATTTTATTTAAAATAAAAAAAGAGGTAGTCTCAACAGACAAAGAACTATTCATGTATGCAGCCTACCCCCCCCCCCCCCCCCATTCTGGAAGACGAGATCAGCTGCTACCAGACACAGGGAAATGTGCTGTTCTGTTGTAACCTTAATGCCAGAATGGCACAGATCCTGATTGAGTTAATGCACAGGGAGACAAACACATACCTGGTCAGATCAGCATCCCTGCTCCTCTAAATCTGCACAGAAACAACTTTGATAAAACTGTCAACAGAAATGGGCATCAACTGATGACGATGTGTCCCACACTCGGTCTGTACAGATTCAATGGTTGGCTTCGAGGGGACCCCTTCAGTCACTACACACACAGCTCTCCTCTTGGCAACAGCACAGTAGACTATAGTATTACAGACCTAGACCCCTTCTATCTTAGGGCATTCAGCGTCAGCTGCCCAACACCCCAATCAGATCACAGCAAAATCACCCTGTACATAAGGAGGACCCCAACAGACCCCCATGTAGCACAGCCCAGTAGGCACGGCCGCACCAAACAGCCTTAAGCCGCGTTCAGACCAAACGCGACCTGACGCGACTTGGCGACGGCTCCCAATGCAAAGTCTATGGCCAGCCGCGACCTGACGCGACTTGGCGACCGCCGGCTTCCTGCGACGCGACCATGCGCGACCCGGCGACCAGGTCGCGCATGGTCGCGTCGCCGAGGTCGCAGGACGCCAAGTCGCGTCGCTCCCAAAGTTCAAATATTTGAACTTAGGAGTGACTAGCCGCGACTCCGTGCCGCGACAGCCAATCAGGGCTCTGCTGACGTCAACAAACTGGCAAAGCAAGGAGGAGGAGGGGAAAATCAAAAATCAAACAATGGAGGAACAGTTAATTACGGCGGTAAGCTTCCACCCGGTCCTGTACGACGTGGGGTGCGGACTGTACCGGGACCGCACCTCCAAGGACGAGGCATGGGTGAAGTTGGCCCATGATGTCGGGCTTTCTGGTAAGTTTGTTTGTGTATTTATTTCAGTGAGCGGACAGTTTTATGAAAACATAGCTAACTGCCCCTGTATGCTAGGCTACATGTTTCAACGTATGTGTGTGTGTCTTTGCAGTGGATGTGTGCCACAAGCGGTGGAAGGGGCTGCGGGACGTTTACTTGAGGGAGAAAAGGAGGGAGAAAGAAGGCGGGAGAAGTGGGTCGGCGGCCTCCCAGCAGAGGAAGTGGCGTTTCACTGCGGTGATGTCCTTCCTCGACCCCTTTATTGCCCCGAGGGACACATCAAGCAACATGTCTCGGGAGGTCGAGGAAGACTTCACCGCAGAAAATGCTGCTTCTTCTGCTGGGATGCCTGAAGACCTGGAGGAAGCAGGCCCCTCAGGAGTGGAGTTTGACGGTTGGTTGATGAGTGAAAAACATAGCAAATAAATTTGAGTCCCCTCATGGTTTAAACACACCATTGTAGTCTAATTTAAGATGGACAGATCAAGTCATGCACATGTAATGTGTGAACATTTTTTATTTGAATAACAATGTTGCCTGATTGCAGAGTTTTGATTTCAGACATTTTTGTCACAACTAAAGATAAGCCTGCTCCCTCTCCTGCTTCAGCTCCCTCTCCTGCAGCAGCTCCCTCTCCTGCCCCAGCTCCATCTCCTGCTTCAGCTCCCTCTCCTGCCCCGTCAGCTTCTCCTGCTCCCTCAACTGCAGCAGGTGATGCCTCGGGCCCCACTGCAGCCAGGCCAAGAGGTATAGAAATTAAATATTAACCATATATTCAATGAAATTGCTCAAGGTCACATAGAAATTATAAAACAAATAGTAAACGATTATTTTTTTTTTATGACAGGGAGGAAGAGGAGGACGCCTCCCTCCTCACGACTGGAGGAGATTGAGGAGCTCCTCTGTCAGACCCTGAGGAGGCAGCAGACTCCCCCTCCACCACCACCACCCACATCTCGCTATCCCGAGGAGGAGCATTTCCTCCTAGGCCTGGCTCCTTCCCTCGCGAGGCTGTCACCCCAGGCTAAGGAGCAAGTTAAATTTCAAATTTATAAATTAGTTTTTGAAGCTCAGGATTTCACACTGAATTTGGAACCAGTGGAACCTTAGCTGGGGTGACAGCCTCGGGGGGGAACGAGCCAGGCTCCTCTGTTTCAGCCATGCCCCCCCCCCCCCCCCCAATCCAACTTGTAAATTTGTGTATATAGTTGAAATTTTTTATTGTATTATATTTTTATATCTGCTGTTGCAGCCGTTCAAAAATTTGTTTTATTTGTTGTTATAAAAAGTATTATTATTGTTACATTATTATTGTTATATTTGTTGTTATAAATATTGTTATTATAAAGTTTTCTCAACTTTGCCTTGTTTCCTTCTTTAACATGCAGTCATGAAGTAAAATAACTAGGTTGCAGTGCTTCGATGTATAAACTTTACTTAACCCTTGTGCACCCCTTAAAATGTAATGACACCGTTACTGTTGTCTGGGCTAACAAATTAATAATAATAATACTGATCTTGTTGAATGATATGGACTTATTGGGTCTGAAATAAAGTTAGTAAATAGATAGTTAGATAGTAATTTCAGCATGTAGGTAATCTGTGTTTGAAATATTACCATCTTGATCATGTCATGTTGACAATAGTTTGTTGGCACAAAAGAAATGGCAATTGCATATCACTTTCACCTACACAGGACACTCGTTAGCTTTCAATTAGTACTTAGTTTTTTCACTTTACATTAATTTCCATATTGTATAAGGGACTGGAAAAAAAATTGAGCCCCTGCCCCTGTATAATCATGTGCATGTCCCTGTACTGGCTCCAAGGTTAATCTTCACTGCTCATGTTCTCCTCAGAAGCACTCACCTCACTCCCCTCAGGTGACTGTACATGCAGCAACTGCCTGCTTCAGGTTTAGATGGCGCTTCATGGTTGTGTTTTGGAGAAATGACCAGCCAAGTTGTGTTAAAAATTTAAATTTTTCTAGGGCAAAAGGAAGCCTCCGCATTCCTATCGGATATGTAAATAGCATGTTTTTGCAGGTGCATAAAAAGGGTCTGTGTGTGTGTGTGTATCTTGCAGTACTCTGAGCAGAATGAGAGGCAGGACACAGACACAGTTATGGAGACATTCTTGTACATATATGTAGGACATTTGCTCAACAGTTGTTTGTGGTGGCTCTGAAAAGAACCGTTGTGGGGGTGCAGTGCACTAGATGGAATCCTGCCATGAGACCGCTCCTTCAGCTGAGAAGTGCTCGGTGAAGGACTGCCTGACTGCGATAGCCTCCCGGGACGGGTTGTTTGAAGCGACACGTCCCAGCCCTGCCTGAGGCTCCTCACCACCTGTGATGGCACCCAACCCCATGGCAGCTTCAGGCTGAGACCTTCGCAGGAAGTTATGAAGGACACAGGTGGCCTTCACACACTTCTCTGCAACATCTGGAGAAACCTCAAGGGCACGTCGGTACATCCTCCACTGAGTGGAAAGAATGCCGAAGGCATCTTCAACCACCAGCCGCGCCCTGGACAGCCGGTAGTTGAAAATGCGCTCTCTCTCTGGGGAGGATGCGCCCTGGATACGGCCTCATGAGGTTTCTCCGGAGCGGGAAGGCCTCATCTGCAACAAACACATGAGGTTGGGGTCCCCTGTGTTCAGCTTCAGGCAGTGACCGATCCGGAGGCAGCTGGAGGGAGCCAGAACGTAGGGCCTGACCAAACGCAGAGTTGGCCAGAATCCCCCCGTCACTGGTCCTCCCGAAGCCTCCGACATCGATCACTCGGAAGCAATAATTGGCATCTACAACTGCCAAGAGAACAATAGAAAATGTTCCCTTGTAGTTATAGAACTGTGATCCTGAATTGGCAGGAGCCTTCAGAACCACGTGCTTCCCATCCACTGCACCACAACACTAGGGGAAGTTCCACCGCTCCTCAAAACCCTGTGCTATGGATCTCCACTCATCACAGGTGGGCACAGCCATGAAGTCCTCCACCAAGAACTCCCAGATGCAGGACACGGTGTCTGCCACGATGCCCGACACGGTGGAAACTCCAACCCGGAAGCTGTATGCGATGGTCCTGAAGGAGTCTCCAGTAGCCAGGAACCTAAAGCACATAAAAATTAATTTCATTACAAATTTTATTTAAAATATGAGGCCATATGAAATAGAAACGTAACCGAAGATTTGAGTGTCCATAAATCCTCTTTGACACAAACATTTATGCTAGCACCCAGTGTATCTGGTCATTTTAAAGTAATTGATTTCCAGGTAATTTTTTTACAGTATGTATTGAATGTGTTAAGGGTTAATTTTTTTCAGTGTAACTTCTTACTTTACTGAGTGGATCAAATAAAGGACACAGACCAATCCTGTTTACTTCTTCAGCAGCACCTTATCAGTCTGATCAGATAGGATTATTTTCACAGGAGTTATATTATCTGTCTTTAGTAAATTGATCAGATTCACAGAATTTCTAAATCACATTAGTGTGTGCAAGAGAAGTTTTATTTTGACTGGATATTAAAGGACAGAGGCAAAGAGCAGCTCACAGGAGGAACTCAGTGTACAGAAAGCTGATAAACTTTGCAGTTTTGCCTTATTTGCCCAGTGTATCTGCTCATTTTAAATTAATTATACTTGATTATACTCACCGCAGACAGATAGACAGGCGCTCCGAAGCTGGAATGGAGCGCCTGTAGTTGGTGTCCTGGCGGGAGATGCTGCTTCCCACCCGGGCGAGGAGGTCCTCAAACTGCGCCGTCGACAAACGGAAATACCGCTGGAAACGGCCATCGTCGAGGCGGGGCTCCTGGAGCAAACGGTGATATTCACCCAGCTCCGTCCTCCTCCGGATGGTTTCATGCACCCATACACGCCGGCGGCGTCTATGTCGGACACGAAGGTATGCGGCAGCACAGGTCACGATGTCGTCCATCTTCAACACTGGTCGCACTGAAAACTGAGCTACTGACGTTAACGTGATGACGTCATCGGCGACCAGCCGCGACCTCCGCGACTGCAGCTTTGGACCCGGTGTTGACACACCAGGGCACCACGCGACGCGACCTGACCGACCAACGCGACGCGACCTGGTCGCGTTTGGTCTAAACGCGGCTTTACAGGTGGACAAGTCATAGCAAAGATGACTAACAGAGAGCAATCGGGCATCCAACTATCCAAACGAGGTTGGACCATTTTTTCTCCACCTCATGTCCCTACAGTAATGACGGCCTCAATCAGGCTGTTGGGGATATTATTGATATATTTGACCAAATAGCACCTCTCTTCAATTTAAAAAAATAAAAGGCATAAACAAAATGTCATAGTTCAAACAAATCTTCTCTTATGAAAAGTGGTTTGATTCTGGCTGAAGATCTCTGAGAAAGACACTTCATAAATTATCCAATGAAAAAGACAGACAACCTGATAATCAGGATCTCCGCCTTCAATACTGGGAATCTCTGTTATATGGAAAAACACTGAGCACTAAAAAGAAACAACATGTGCAGCACCTCCGAGAAGAAACTGAAGAGTGTATTGACTACAATATTTTTTGGAAAAAACGGCATTCATTTAAGATATCTAACTAAGAAGAACTGGCCATTCAAAATGGTGACAACCAAAACCCTCTAGATCATGTAATTAGTGAAGAGGAGCTACTGACCAAGATCCAGGCTCTGCAGCCAAGGAAGGCAAGTGAACCAGATCAAACTCTAAATAAAATGCTTCAGTTTAGCAGCCATAAAATCAGGACCGCCATATTGAAATTATTCAATCTTATTCTGATCATTTGACATTTTCCAGACACCTGGAGCCAAGGAATAATCACTCCACAAGTATTATTATTATCATTATTATTATTATTATTATTTTCATTATAATTATTATAATTATCACTGTTATTGTTATTGTTGTTGTTGTTGTTGTTGTACAACATGTACATTGAAATTGTTTTGTCAACTGTTTTTGAGATATTGGGTTCTATTTTTGTGCTTCGCCGGAGATGTGCCTCAGACGCGGCATAAGTCAGGTCCGCCGCGCCGACAAGGCGTTCCCAAGCACAATTTGGTATTTTGGTGAGCGGCGCAGCCTGGCGTAAGTATCCCCCCTCCCTAACTCAGCTCCTCCCAGCAGTGTAAGTCGTAGCAAGGGAGGAGAGAGGGCGTTGAGTGGGTTTAACAAGGGCGAGACCTGTATTGACCAATAACATCAGCTCCTCTCTTCGCCTTTAAATCCGACACCGGCGAGGCGTATTACAATTTTCGTGAAGTAATCAAAGAGATCAAGAGATGTCTGAAGACAGTAATGCCACAAGATGGCGACAGAAGGCAGCCCCTCAACAAGTGTCACTGTAAGCGCTGCAGAGGGCATCCTCCACATTGTCTCATATAAGCACAGATGGATTTGGTGTGTGTAAGTTTGGACCCACTAGTAAGACAAACACCCTTTTCCACAAATATAGACACTCACATAAAGTTGCATATATTCAAACCTCACGTGACAAAGGTGGGTTTTGCGCACAGATCACATCATAAACTCCAAAAATGGCATTAAAATCTGAACCATTTGTGCGTAATGAAGCATCGCACTCCATGGCCTGGCTCTCTCTTTGATAGATATTGGCATACAAAATAAATTTGGCTCAAAAACTGAATATTATAATATTCGTATGTAGGCTTTAAGTAAATAACTCATCTGTTCACTGAAACAAATCATCTGTTCAGCCGCTGCAGCAGGACGGG